GTTTTCGCTAAAGCTGTTAATTTTTATTACCAGAAAATAGTACTGACATTTGTCGTCTTGTTTCATTGTGCATTGAAGATGCATCTAGTTACGATATTCATAATTTGAATAAGTTTATCGAATCACACAAACAATATTGCATCGAGTCAACTACAACGAAAGAATGGATAGATGAAAATGCACAGAAACGATATACTATATATTGCTTGTTTTATAGAATATCTGATTCTGTCAAATTTTCGTTTTCGTAGAATAAAAGAAGAAGTTGTTATTCTTAATATAGTTTTAGATTTTATTACATAAATTCATAAATGAATACATTCCCTACGATAGGATCCAGTGAGATGAGCTGCACTTTATCTGAGTGAGAAACTTTATGAAGAAGTACCTTTTTGGCAGTTTTTTCTAACTAGAGAACCTCCTCACGTGTAATCTTCAGATTTCAATGATTATTTATTCACAGATATTACACAATGCTCTAGTAAAGGCTTTGAGCTCGGGAATCTTTCTTGAAAAATTATGAATATTTTTTAATTTCGCTTCTTTATAGTTTACGATATATAATATTAAAAAATCAGCTACTTTATGAAAATACGATAGAGATACGAATTTCTTTTGTTTTTATTTTATGTAATAGCTGGGATCTTAACAGTATTAGAAACTACTTAGAAAAAAAAAAGAACTGCATCGAAAATAAAAACTGAGTACAATGTGGAAAAAAAACACAACAGAAAAAAAGAGAACAGACTCATATGCATAGTAGTATTTAAATAAAAATTAACAGCTTTAGCGAAAACGAATAAGGCAATGGCTGAAGTTATAGATCTGTTTCGTAATATGGTGTAGAATTAGAACAAACTCATGTCAAACAATTCAGAATCGAAATCGCCACTTTTCTGATATTCCAGAATTTTAATGGAAGCAATATTTCGATGAACGGAACCGAGAGAAACTTGTCATAAGCAGCAATCGGATCGCTGCGTTAGATTTTTTGGCATTTTCGATTGGGTTCTGGTGGGAAATTGAGCAGCTTTTGAGAATTTTCCCGGAATACTACTTCGAGAAACGTTGTCCTGAGAATAGTCAAAAGTCAAGTGAAGACTTCTCTAAAATTCATTTATAGGGGAGGAATCTTTTAGATCTTCTGAACTCTCTGATGAAGAACTCTTTATTCGACCAATCTTTCTTAAATTCAGCAATGGTAGTTTTTTTCAAAAATGAGATTTCTATCAATTGAATTAAATAAAACTCTAAGATACGTATTCCAGTATATGAAACAATAATCTTTCGAGGATATTTCATTCCATTCGAGACAGCACGAAGTATGACGATTGAAAGGTGTAATAAAATCGAGAGAGAACCTCCCAGTGCTTTCAAGTAAACAGTGGATAAACAGAATACAATACATTGAATACCGACAGGGACAACATTTCTAATTTCGTACATAGCTCGGCTTGAGAAACTCATAAACTCTTGGTTTATTTTTTAAAAGATGTGCTGTGAAAAGCTCTAAACAAGCTGTATAAGCAAATTCCTATTTCTAAACAAAAAAATATTTTTATTATGCTTAATACGGTGAGACGTGGCACTAACATTGAACTTTTTCATTTTGAGTATGGGAAAAATCATCAGAACAAATAAATATAGAGATTCGTTTATATTATAAAACTTTTGTAGAGCTTTTCATGAAGCAACTTTCAAAAGAAAATAAACCAAGATTTTATGATTTTCTCAAGCCGATCTATATGGGAAATTAAAAAAATGTTGCAAAACTTTTGTCCCATCCGGTAATGGGAAAAAGTGTGAATCGATTATTTGCTCTTTTTCTCTAACTGTAAGATTATGTCACTGTCATCAGAAGTCAATCTTTCATCAATTAATTCGATATCAGATTCAAAACCAAGTGTATAATCATCTTCGAATGATTATAAAGTGCAATTCATTATAGATTCAATATTTTCAAAGAGCATTTTTACAATTTCTTCATCTCTTCTTGTATTTACATGTGTCGAAGTTAATTTTAAACAATCAGAAATATAATTTTGACAAAATACCGATAACGCTGTACATATTTGACATTGTGTTTTGGTAGAACAACATTAGATTAAAGGAAAGATACAAAAATGTAGATTATATATACTTATTTTTGCTAGATAATATAAGAAAAAAAAAGCGGGATGTTCAGTCAAATGTACTTTATATGAAAATTACTAATTTAGGCATGTGTAATCAATATTAACGGGAAAAAAAATTATTTTTAATAGAACAATGCGCTGTCAATTTTCTTCAAGCGACTCAAATTCTACAGCTCGATAATCAGAAGAATTAAAAAATTAACAGTTCTTATAAGTATAACAAATATCTAAAAACGCTCTCGAAAATATTCAAGTGCAATAAACTCTATTTCTTTTATATTATTTCAATCAAAGGATATTCGTTTTATTCATTCATTATTATTAAGTTTGAATTTAGTTTTCAACTAGGTTGGCTAATTGACAATCAACAGTGCAAAATAACACATTGATTTATATGAAAAGAGTATAAATTGATTTATTTATTTTTTGTTTAATTTAAATCTAAAATTAAAATCGATTTTAAGATACATGAAACAGAAAATACTGAAGCACTAATGCAATCATGATTTAACGATATGAGAAATTTATTTAAGGAAAAAGAAATTTTATCCTTAAATGTAAATATTTTATTTCCGAAACAAATTAGTACATTGATATGATTTATATAATATATATTTTCATACATACAACAACCTTCATTTATCTGAATAAAAAAAAAACGAGAATATAACATTAGTGAGACAGTCGGTAACCAGCGATGAATCTTATTTGTAATATGAGCTGATATATTGCAATTGTTGTTCTTAATTGTAAATTTACTTAAGTAACGTAGATAATAGAAACTTCTAATTGATAGTATTGATGTCCGTCCCTGACTGAATTGTTTTTCTTTTTAAAAAAAGATACACTGTTACTATTATGCTGAATTTATCGACATTTTACTACGAAGATTTAAAAGAAAAACAAGAAGACAGCCGGTTGCGTTTTTCTTCTTATACTTATATTATAGAAGTCATTTATATAAATGAGTAATTATGAATCATTTGTTCTATTTACTTGGATGCGTCATCATGTACTGGCACACATATTAGAGACTGTATGATGTACTTTTTCAAGCGGGCACAGACAGAATATTTTTTCACCAAGTGCTCTCATTTTTTTTTTCTTTCTATTTGAAGGAGCATATTATTTATTTTTACACGATAGTGAACTATGGCATATTATCAGCAACAACAACAAATGCAGTTTTTAGAAGGTCTTTTTAGCCATAATGAGAGTCAACGGGCTCAGGAACAAATCTACGGAGATTATTATGGAGAACCACAACAACATCACAAATCATCTTTGACTCATGAAATTATAGCTGGTGTTACGTACTATAATCGTAATGGCAGAGATTACTACTATTTATTCTTATTTATTACGATCTATGTGAAAAAACAGGAGTTTATATCAAGAATAAGAACTAAGATATTTATAGGTAGTTCGAGAAGTGATTCTCAATGATTTATGACTTTTAAAATTAAAATTTATTATTCTAACGAATGGTTTGACTAAATGATTAGAGAAAGAGGTTACTATTGATGAAACTCTTTGCTTCAAAATGGCAACTAAACCACACATTTTAAATTAAAGATATTGAATTGTTTATTATAGAGTTTAGCATTTCATAAGGATCGTCAAACATGAAATATCTTCCTACTTTTGTCAAAATATAAAATGAAATATAATCATGTTAGAAAATAGTAGTGATGCAATTTCTGATATCCTTTAACAGTCAATCACTAACTATTGTACATCTGTTGTAATGAAATACTATTTTCGATTACTGTTGAAGTATCTACCAAGAGAGAAATGAATCAAATCATTCCTCCTGACATATAAAGTGCCACTATCATTTTTGATTGTTGCTGCATGGGTTTGTCTTTGTAAATAAAATATCTTTACCTTCTATCCTAACTTGTCTCATATATCAACATAGACAGTTTTAATGACATTCTATGAGATAGTGATGGAAAGGATTGAAACAAATTGGGTTGTTTAATGTTTTCCAATTCCGAATGAAACGGTTAATCACTTCTTCTTAAACAAAATGAATCCGTTCCTTGACATGTTAATCAGCGATGAATATGAGAAAGCGGTAAACATTTCAGATACGAAGTAGAGAGAGAGCTAAAAATATCTATAATGCACAAATAGATATTATTGTAAGAAGACTAATACGAATCAAGAATATCTACTAAGTAAGATACCATTGTGTGATAGAATAATGAGTAAATATTTTAGTCTTCACAATGATTTATCAAATACAATCTGAAAAACAAGGAACATGTCTATTGTGATTACTTTTCTCCTTCTAGCTATGAAAGCTTTTGAAGATCATGCCCGCAACACAGGTGAACAGATATCACATCCTCTGATGAAAGAACTACTAGCAGGATTTGCTTCCGCTGAAGTAGACAAACTCTTCGAAATAAGGCGACTTGATTTTCTTGATCGTGAAAGAGCAAAACATCGTGCTATACAACAAGCTCATCAACTAGCTGATGAAAAGTACGGACGGACTGATACCTACAATTGGCAAGGAGATCAATATTATGCAAGTGAACCTTGTGGTTATGGAGGCCCTCCATATAGTAGTGGTCCTCCTCATAATGGTGCTCCTGACCCCTATGGTGGTCCTGCTCCTTATGGAAGTCTAGGTCCCTATAGTGGTAACGAATATCACCATCATCATCGACCGAATTAAAGAGATTAAAGTTACCCTTATACTCATTTTTGTAATTTTTCTTTGATGCTAATAATTCAACACAATAACAACCCACGTGAACATAAAACCTAGAATGTAAGAGAGTATGGAGAAAGAGAAGATCTTTAATGACGCATTCTTATGTATATCATTCTATATTTTCAAGATTTAGAGACGAAATAAAACCAAAAAAAGATTTAGGATATTTTATATTCAAGGATTTTGTGGACGTTTTGTGAAATTTTCAGGATAAGTACTAACTTTATTGTTATTATCTAGCAAAATTTATTGACTAGAGTTCTCAAAAATGAAGTTATTTTATTTAGTTTATGTCGCAAATATTAAATGGAATATTTTCTATGCATCAACTTGATACCATTTTCTCCGATAGTCGCTTTACATCAATAAAGTTCTTACTGAATCATATAAACGAAAGCATATTAGTTTCACTAAAAACTATAAAGCATCAAATGATCAACATTTTATTTCATTGTGGCAATAAGGTTAATGCTAATTGATAAAACAATATCCTTACGATTAGTTTGAATTCAACAATGACTCAAGAAATAAAACTAAAGATGCAAACTTATACACTATCGATATTTATTATACGATTTTCATTTCTTGCAGCAAACAACTTTTTAATCAAATAAAATGCTATCAAAGAAAATACTCAATATAAATGTTTGATAGGATTTATTTCAACAGTTTAATTATTAAAAACTGCATTGAGGAATATAATGCATTGTTTTCATGTTCTTTTTCATTCAATATGTAAGCAAGTAATACTTATTGACTATGAGAAAAAAAATGTTAACTTTTTTCTTTATGACAACGCTTGACTGTATATGTCGATTTTAGTATAGAATAGAATCTAACATGCTCGCACATTCTTCTTATTAGAATTCTTTCTTTGACAACATATTGCATTTTCAGTTTGCTGCTGTGTTGTAATTGCAAAACGCAAAACTGTCGGCTAGTTAGTTTGAAGCAGGAAGAAAGAAAAAAAGAACTAAATACTTCTACGTAGCCATATTTGCCCGTTAAAAGAGGTCTGAAATAAATTTCTCTGTTTAGTTTTCATGGAGTAACTTAGAAAGAAAAACATCATCATTTCTTTTTCCTGTTTTTAACCAATCCAATACAATAATAGAATAACAGACCGCATCAACAAACAACAATTTCAACAATAAGAATTCTTTTCTCAGAAAAAGAAAGGAAGACGTGCTAAAATAAAAACATTTTCTTTTATGCGTTATTTAATAACAACAATATACGGAACGAGTACTACTCAAAAGGGTGTGGGTGTGGGTGGGTGTGGGGTATG